TACTATATCAATGCATTCTACCCTATGCTTATAGTGCATCGACATGAAGATATCGATACTTATATCATAGATTAACGAAGCACGATTTACTGAACCTTATTATTCACATTATTCATTATATTTGTTGATTTGGTTATGGCATTAGCTCATGAGGGGAAAACAAGAGAGGAGCATATATGATTAGTACAAATGTTATCTTTTAAGGAAAAGAACTTCAATAACAGTTTCTATTTCCACTTGAAAAACGCCGTTGAGAGCAATTTTCACGACACGAAAGGTGGCCAGCATTGTGTACTGTAGATCAGACACCGATTCCCAACTGACAAAGAACTCTGCTGGCTTTAAAAACTCCACAGCCTTGAGGAATGTCGGCGCCATTGGGCTCGAGGAATCGCTGCTCCTCATGGCCGCCGCGGGGCTGCAGCCTCACGCGCCTGCTGGTGACGCCGAGCTCCTCTCCGCCTCCACGCCGCTGGGTGTGGGCGGAGGGCGGCGAGCAGTGCCAGACGGGCGCGCGTTGCAGAGTCGCGGGGAGCTACAGAAAGGAGTCAGTTTCACGAGGTCCTTCCAAGCCTCACAACAGTTTCAGCCTAATTAAACCTTGTCAGTGAGCGGGATCGAGAGATGCATGACAGGCCAGGCAGAGCTGGAGTTTGGCATCGTCATTCCTGTTATGGACTACATTATTAGTTCGTTGTGGCTACTGATTTAGTTTCTTGTAAATCACTACTACCAGTAATTACTATGGCCATAAAACTGAATCTGTTATAGTATCCACTGTTGTAAAAACTAGAAGAGAACCTTAGTGTTTAAGTCTTAGACACATAACTTGTTGCTCAACGCATTCGGCGCTGACCAGGATTCCAGGAGCGCCAAAAATATTTGAATACCACAAGTGTGTACACAGAAGCATACAAAAGGATACTTACTGCACAACCAGTAGCACAGACTTGCAAGGTCAAAACTTTCGTTCATCTGAATACAGAATTTTTACTAAACCTGTTTGAACTGTTTGCCCTTGACCTGACAATAAAGCCTTGCACTCTGGGAGGTTAGATAAGTTTATGTCATGATATCTGACCGGTATGAAATAGAATGAAAAATATATAAAATGGCTTCATCTTCAGAGTGACTTTATTTATTCGCGAATTAAAAATATTGTGCAGTGAGTCTGTCATCCCGGAGAGTGGAGATGGCAGGGAATAGATAATGTAGTGATAGTGAATAGCATTACAATCATGAGCCGTGTGTGGCGGCGTGTGTATTGTTTTTTATCAGCTAATAAAAAGTGTCCAGATATTTCTGCGAATCTTAACATATTCTCACCATGGACTTAAAATCACATAGGCTGTTCATCTTGCAATGATCGCTCCATATAGCTCCCCTCTCCCTCCGTCTCCTTGTTTGTTTAGCTCTCTATCTCTAGCTGTTTCATTTTCTCTCTCTCTCTCTCTTCCTCTCTTTCACCTCTCATCTTCTCTCCCTCCCTCCTTCTTTCTCTGTCTGTCTAATTGTAACCCAGCGGTCTGTATCATATTACTGAGATGTGCATGATATTATCCTTTGTATTTATTGTTATATTCTGCATAATGTACATGATCTTACATACTTCTCATATGTGAATCTTCTCACATGCACTTATACACAAACATATGCATATACAAATGATTATAACTGTTATAAAATTTGTTGTGGGAATCACAATCATAATAATAATAGTAATATCACTATTATCATGATAATAATAGGAGATATAATAATGATGAAACAATTGTAAAAGCGAGACAAAGAATTAGAGAAGGAGTATGAATAGGAAGAATAGTGGCGCTGATAATATCAACAACAACAGCAATAATAAGGTCGATGTGTAATGCTAAGGATAAAAATGTCTATGATGAAGCAAAGATAAGAATAAGAACAGAAAGAAGCAGCAGCAAAAGACAATAACAATCACAGTCGATTAAGGGAACACTAACATGAATAAGGATTATCTTCATGTCGCTAATGAGGTTCTTATGATATTAATGAAAATATTTAGAAGCAATTACAATCAGCATGAGAATATGGAGAATTACCAATATTTCGGGAACAGCATTAATCATTATAATAATCAGAGTTCTTAAAGTTATTACGAATATGATGGATATGATTCCTGTTCTTATCTTCATTAAGTAGAAGAATAGAAAATAGGAGGATATGATGCTAATCATAGTGTGACTAATGATGAAAGCAAAGATTTGAATGATGTCCATGGTAATAAACATAATGATGTGAATCATTTTATGACTACTAGGAATTATAAGGATGATGCAAATGGCAATGATGATGTTCATGGTTGAACTAACAAGATTTCCCTAAACTTCCTGGCAATATCACCCTGTTTTTTTTTTTTTTCATTTCCCTGCCCCCGTCCTATGGAATTGCCATTATCACCAATTTTTTATCATCGTTATCATGATCATTTGAGTGCGTGCCGTCCGAAGGTGTTCTCAGACCAATTGCCCGGAAATAAGTTTTTTAACTGTCTTGTTAATTCAAACTTTCATCTATAATAAAACAATTGTAAACTCATACCAATGCACAAAACCTCATGAGTGTAGTGCATTAACATAAACATATTGATGCTTATGTTGTAGATCAAAGTTTAAATGAACAAAACATTAATGAACATATTTATGGGTAACTGGGGCGAGAACACTTTTTGACGCGTAGACCTTTGTGTATGTTGTGATTATTATTACTACTACTATTACAACTGGTATGATGAATAGTATCAGTTGCAGTTGCTTTGTTTAATCTCTTTCCTCTCCTCCTCTCTCTAGACGGGGGGAGGGGGCACGTCTCTGGATCAGAGCTCCAGGTTCCCGCCTTTGGTGTGTTGCCAATGCATGATTTTCTGTTCATTTTCTCTGCCTTCAAAGAAACGGAATGAGGTTAATAATAATAAACTTATGAGGTAGACATGCATGTGATGTGCTTGTGCCAGATGTGAGCATAAGAATTGCCGCGTATGCTATTTATCAAATTGCAATATTGAAAGAGGAGCCAAATAAAATAAATAAATTCATAAAGGTACATGAAAGGACAGGCACTAGGATTGTACAAGAAAGTCACAGTTATCAAATATTTACGGAATAAGTTTGTACAACTGCACCATTGCATTTTTAAATCACAGTAACTCCGTCACTTTCATTCATACATATATATATATATATATATATATATATATATATATATATATATATATATATATATATATATATATATATATATATATATATATATATATATATATATATATATAATACATATATATATATAATACATATATATATATAATATATATATATATAATACATATATATACATATATACATTTATATATATGTATATATAAATATATGCATAGATATAGAAGTACATGTGTATGCATATATGCACTTATATATTTATGTGTTTATGAATGTATATATATATATATATATATATATATATATATATATATATATATATATATATATATATATATTATATATATATATATATATATATATATATATATATATATATATATATATATATATATATATATATATATATATATATATATATATGTATATATATATATATATATATATATATATATATATATATATATATATATATATATATATATATATATATATATATATATATATATATATATATGATACATACCTATGTATAAATAATGCATATAAAGGAAAGAAAAAAATATAGATATCTATTTCATGCTTGTATGAATGTATGTTTTCCTCATTTGTATTCAATATTTCAATTAGCATGAAAATAAACACATTTTGAATATCACAAAAAATTCCTAAATTCTTCTTATTTATTCTTTAAAACTGTGTTCTTGGCCTCAACTCCACTGACGATATTAAGGGTGAATTTTTTTTCATTGGTCTTTAAATCTACATGTTCAATTTTTCATAAATTTATCTTTTACTATTTGTGACACATTCATCGTTATGCATTTTCTGTTTGCAATATTTTGTCTTCCGGAAATGGGAAAATTAACCCAAGTTTTCTCCTTTTACAGGAGCGACTCCCCTGCACTTCGCCTCTGAAAATGGTCACTTCGCAGTGGCTGAACTCCTGGCCGCCAAGGGAGCGGACCTGGAAGCGAAGGCCCAGTATGGTAAGGCGATTTCAGAGACGACGGACGCAGTTGGTCCGGGTTTCTTTTTTTTTTCTCTTCTTTTATATTCTTATTTCATCTATATTTCTAAGCACCGGTCGTGATTGTCATTTTGATGTTCGATTTAAATTGTAGGTTTCGCTACCATTGTTGATGTATTGGTTTTAACATTATAAAGATTATTCTTATTATACATTATACTACAATATTTTTGCTTCTGATTGATTTGCGTGTAATTAATGGATAATTTCGATGACAATTATGTAAGTTATAATGATTGAAAGTGATAGGGTAAGATAGGGATAGGACGGAGGTAGGATAGGGCGAGGAAAAGGGAGGTAGGACGACGAGAGAAAGGAGTGGGAGAGGGATAATGCGCGTAGAAGTAGAAGGGAAAAGAGGCGACTAAAGCACAGTGGGAGGGAAGGGGAAGGGGGAGGGGGAGAAAATGTGGGTCATAGGAGAGGAGCTCCACGATCTCTAATAAATTATTTCATGTTGCTTTTATCAGCAATGGAAAAATAGGAGAGCAGCTCTGGCCAAAGGATCATTCATTAGTGCCATTATATCTTAGCAACATAATGTATAATCAACAGTAGTATTACTTTTCTCGATATCATTATAGTTGTAATATTTTTAGTCGTGGTTTCACTGAGATCCCATCTCATTATTACCATTGCTACTATCATTTGTTACTATTATCTTCATCACCATTTCCTCATCATCATTATAAATAGTGCAATTGATCTTTAGTTCAAGAAAGCAATCTGAAGGGAATATCGAGTATCTGCTGCACTGTTATTTTGTTTTCGTGAAAAAAATAGTTTTAATATCATATCTTTAACCGGTGTAAATTTTCTGAGGTGCAATAGGCAGAAAGAAAGAAAGAAAGAGAGGCGGCATTTAATATTGCATGAATCCTTGTGTTTAGAACCTTTTCCCTCTGGCCCCTTATTCGTATCTCACGTATATCTCTCTCTTTTCTCTCTCTGTCGCTTCCTTTTACCCTCCGCCCTCGCCTCCCCTTCCCCTTTCCTCGCATTATCCTCCGCCTTCCTTTTATCTCCATCTTCCTTGCCTCTCCCTCCTCTCCTCCTCCTTTCTCGCCATGCTCCCTCATCTGTTTATAGTTATTACCAATATTAATGTTACTATTGCTTTTATTTTTTCATCAGTATTTCAAGTCTCTTCATTAGTTGCATTTTGATTGTCATAGTAGTTGCTAATAGTAAAGTATGAAAATTCAGATTCTTTATATGTTCATTTAAATTTACTGGAGTCATTGCTGCCGTTGAAATTACTTTGAGGAAATGCTAATTACAGGCCAAATATAATTAACTCAAATGATCATCACAATGGATATCAACTCTTTCAGTTCGGACCTACGTTCATGTCGGCAGACTTGTCCATCAGTTATCATGTGTAATAAGGTGTTGAATGCATGCACTTCCTCCTTTTTTCGTGAGTGACGGCAAGACACTGCCATTAACTTGATTAATGTGCTTTGGTAATTATACTCAGGAGCTCATTTCCCTCTTGGTCCATTTGTTCAATTGAGGGATTTAGATTTTTGTGCTTCGTTCTTGCAAATGAAGTATGCCATGTTTTCAGGAAAATGGCAATGCAGTACCATGAACTGATGTGAATGAAAATGCGATTGATTGATTAATGTCATGTTTTACTTTAGTTACAGAAAGATTGAAACTATGTAAATTACTAAAAGCAAATCTACCCACCAAGAGTTCCTTGAACAATAACACGGAGGGACACGGTATTCCACGCAAGGCTTTCCTCCTGACGGGACCTGAAGGCACTAGCCTCCCGCTGGGCCGCGAGAGTAGCCATCGGCCATTTCCAAACTATTTCGAATTGACAATTACCAGGCTTAATGGTACCATCGCGATATTATATCGTATATTTTAGAAACTGTTGTAACTTTTTCAAAGACCTGCAAACCTAACAGCAGCAGAATGATTGCTTAGGGAAAAAACAAAGTATTAAACGCCCCAATTTTGTTTAATTCGCTTTGTACATAAACAGAGCGGTTGGTTGAAGGGAGCGTGAGGTGGGGCTTTATTTTCCAAGTGGTGGTAGAAATATGATGAAGAAGGTAATATTAATAATAATGATGATAATGATAAGAACAGGAAAATAATGACAATAGTAATAGTATCAAATACAATAATGATAACTACTTAACAATTACTATTATGGTTATAATGACAATATATTCATAAAGATAATAGTAATAGTAATTTTGGAATCTAATATATTATTACTATTATTATAATAATGATAACAGTAGTATTAATATCATTTTTATGATTATTCTAATCATTATTGATATATATTATTAGTATCACTATTGTTGTTGAATTTTTAAATATTGTTATAGTGAATATGGCAATTATCATAACGATATTCATAACGATAATGATAGTAATGGTAATGATGAAAATAGCAATGGAAAGGATGATGCTATTAATAATGAAAAGGAGGACATTAATGATTATAATGATAATAGCCATAATAATAATGATAATGTTGACGACGGCAATGATAATAACAATCGAAACAATACCAATACCATTAACACTACAAATAATGATAATGGTAATAATCAAAACGAAATTATGATAATGATAATTAATTGAAATGAAATTATGATAATAATAGTTGATATTAGATTATGATAATGGCAATAATTAAAAAGAAATCATAATAATGATAATGAAGGTAGTAATAACTGCTGGAAGAGGCATAAGAAAGAGAAAGGGAGAGGGAGTGAGGCAAAAGAGGCGGAGAGGAGGTGATGCGGTGAATTGAACGGGACTGACGAGGAGGAAAATAAACTGTCCTCACTCTTTTTCGTTCCTTTAGCTTTTTGTGTTTTCTCCTTGTTCCTTCCCACCAGCTTTTATCTCTTGTTCCCTACTCCGGTCTCTCCTCTTTCTTTCATCACGCTTTCCCCTTCTTTGTTCCCCTTTTTTATTTATTTTCATCATGCTCCTCCCTCCCCCCCCTCTTTTACTTTCACTCTCATCAGCTACTCTGATAACTGGAGTGAAGTGGACAAGATCTAGAAGTAAAAAACTCGTTCGATTTCCAACAACAGCTGACACAGTTTTTCACTCCTTCCATCTACCTTACCTGATATCTCCATCTCTTTCCTTCCCATGAGTTCTTTTCTCCCTTTCTCTGTCCCTCTCCCTTCCTCTTGGCCCTTCCTTCGACCTCATCCTTCCTTCCATTCTCCTTCTCCCCTTCCACTTTCTTAATGCTGGATCCTTAGCTTTTCCTCACTGTTGCTGTGAGGAAATTGCTAAAGGCGAAAGTAATTAAACGAGAGAAAAGGGACAGATTGAAGGAAAAAGGATGAATGGAGAACTAAGAAAAATAGAACTTAAGGCAAAATATCAAATTATTCCTTTATACTACATTTAATCATATTTTTTCGCTCCCTCCCCTTGCCTATCCCTTGTCCCCCTTCTTCCCTGCCGCTGGGTCGTCGGCCTTTTCGCACCATGGATGAAGGGGTAAAACTGCCATGGAAGGAGAGCAAGCAGAAAGCACGAAGACGAACGAAGTGAGAACATGATGCTGAATGCTCTCACATACCCATGACTGCGCTCAGAAATGCCCATTTAAGGCAGAGTCAGGGAGTACGACGTTGGCCCCTAATTATGAGCTGAAATTTGATATTTTATGTGCTCTTAATTGCTCTACCAAAATGTTAATTACCAACGCTTACGGATCATCAAAAACTGAAATGATTTTTATCATTGTAATTATATTTACAAACGGTATTCACATCCATGATATTAATCCAATAACTAGGATAATGATAATGGATATTAGTGAGTTTTAATGCCTGTAGTATTAGTACTAATGGTATGACTATCAGTATCGATAGTAATAATTATACTGAGTATAAAAAAGGTAATCATGATGACGATGGTGCTGTGTTTCAGCATTTGTAACATTAATCAACTGAACAAATTCAGATTAAAGCATTGGGATAACTATGTTCATTTGATATGATTTTAGTCAATTAATACCATATCAAAGAACATATCATTCAAACTCAAAGCCATTAGTGGTGACGTGGAGACAAGCTTCACGAGAAGAGAGGGTCGTGGCAGCGAATGTATGAAGCTCTTTTATCGAAGCTTAGGCTTCGCTGCTGAAGCAAAAGGCTTCTCAGTAATGAGCAGTGAACGCAAGATTCGCTGTCCAAGCAATGAGCATGAGACTCACAATGAACCAGGAGGAGGGCAGGGAAATTGTGATTTTCAGGGATTTTGGTAATTAACCAAAGATGGGATGCTGATGCAATGTTAAAATTATTATGTAAAGTGTTTTTCTTCATTAGTGATGGACATGGGTTATACCTCTATGCGTTTGTTTATCAAACGATGTGACTACTACCAGGTGGTACCTGAGATTTCATCCTTTTTCTTGTTTATTTCTTTCTTATATCAGTGAATATTCATGAACACTTGGGCAAGTAAAGGTGTCCCCGAATTCCGAAAAGTTCGCAACCCTTCGCATCCTACGTTCCAACCATCATAAAAATTGTTTCCCGGACCCTCACTATAAGTCCCATGCGATTGTGAGCCTTATAGTGATGAGGCAGCGAGCCTTGTGTTCACTGCCAATTCCTAGGAGAAGCGCAATGCTTCCACAGTGAAGCCTATGCTCCGATGGTTGAATCTTTTACTCACTTGTTTACAGTGAATTCTCTGTTTACTGCCACGATCTTCTTTATTGGTGAAGCTTCTTGTCTCCACATACGCCCAGATGGCTGCGAGTCTAAATAATATTCGTTATAATGACTGAAAGTAATCGGGTAGGATAGGGATAGGACGGAGGTAGGATAGGGCGAGGAAAAGGGAGGTAGGACGACGAGAGAAAGGAGTGGGAGAGGGATAATTTATTTTATGTCGCTTTTATCAGTAATGGAAGAAGAGGATCATTTATTAGTGCCATTATATCCTAACAAAATGTATAACTAATATTAGCGTTACTTTGATCATGATCATAATAGCTGTAATGGTATTTTTTGGTCGTGGTTTCACTGAAATTCCATCCTATTATACCCACTGCTACTATTGCCTGTCACTATTATCTTTAACACCATACCCACCAGTATCACCATCTCATCATTATCAGAATTGCAATTGTTCTTTAGTTCAAGATAGCAATCTAAAGGGAATATCGAGTATCACTGGTGCACTGTTACTGTGTTTTCGTGAAAAAATTGTTTTTTTATCATAATTTTGCTGGTATACATTTTCTGAGCTGTAATAGACAGAAAGAAACAAAGTGAGGCGGCATTTAATATTGCATGAGTCCTTGTGTTTAGAACTTTTTCCCTCTGGCCCCTTATTCGTATCTTACGTTAATCTCATTTTTTTTCTCTCTCTCTTCCTCCCTCGCTTGCCTTTACCTGAGCCTTCGCCTCTCCCTTCCCCTTTTCCCCGCATTGTCTTCCGTCTTCCTTGTATCTCCATCTTCCTTGCATCTCCCTTCTCCCCCCTCCCCTCTTCCCTGCTTTTCCTCCTTTCCCGCCAT